CGTGAGCCGATAGCTAGTATAAGAAACAATTTCTTTAATCAATTCGTGATACTGAACTCTGTCCGTGACAAAAGTATGGGCATTCAAGACTAGACAAGGTTTAGTAGCCACGGCATAGCTCCGAATAGTGCGCTTGATGAACCGTCGGAAAGTACGCGTTAGATAGAGCTCGAGCTAGATGAGATACTTTATAAAGGGGTGGATATGGCGCGCTAACTCATTATACAAACATTCAACGTGTATGCAAAAAGGGCACTTCAATGACCAGTAGGCTTCGCTTAAGCTACCATTAAAGCATCAGCCACAGATTGAGGCTTATTTATCACGACAGCCACAATCCTCATACCTTCGGAAACCCTGCGATTGAAAGGGATCATCTTCAAATATTACACTTAATTTTTGATCTCAGGCTTTTTGCTCACCACAGAAAGTTTTCATTAAAGTTAATGGTTTACCCACAGAAATTTTTCATCAAAGTTAAATTTTTATTCACAGAAATTTTCTCGTACCCTAGATTCCAACTGGGTAAGCTATAAATGAAAACCTATAAACTGTAAAACTTCACTGTATTTCAATCGTATTTGCTTCATTCCTTGAGAAAAAATGATATGGACTTTAAATGTATCGAGTCGTGCCCATACGACCTCGTCCTTCTCATATAACTGAGCAAAAGTGCTGGGTGTGCTTCAAGTAGTAATTGTTGAATACTTCCTCGTGTTCCTCATTCTGTACCAAACTTTTATCATCGTCTTCCAGAATTTAGTACTGGAAGATACATTTTTTGCAGTCTAAAATGCAAACTCAATAAACTTCTTTCTGTGTTCTCAAACCTACAAATTTCATCTCTTATGACTTTTTTTCTCCAATTACAACATAGAAAGCGGTTCTTTATGCGCTTTCTTCCCGAAAGCTGAGAAAGAGTCAGAATACATTCAGTGAGTATGACATCAAGAGCATAGTAACAACAAGGATGTTCAAGCTCTAGTGGGCAGTTTATTTATGATGAACCCACGCAATATGCAAATCGCAAGAGAAGAGCCAACCGAATTTTTTGCAGGTAGACAGGTAGGTTGGTAAAGTGCATTTGAAGAAAAATCATGTAAACCGCTCTTCTCCTGGAAGTTCTTAGCATTTGTCCTGAAATTTTGTAATTTACTAGAAACAGTAAGTACTTTTCCAGCTATGCGGAGAAAAGTATCTTAAAGTGCAAGTGCCAAAAGGTGATTTGAAGCAACTATTACTAACAAGATGAGTGCAGCCAAAAGGAAAGAGCGAGACTTGAAGCTGTGAGCTGCCAACACTCATATTACTTGAGAGCAACCTTTTTGACCTGTTTTTCTGCGCCCGTCGTATCAGGTTTTAAACATACTGATAATTTTTGTTTGCATATCATTACACCTTTTTAAAGATGGAGGTAAAAACGTACGCCCTACGACTAGGAAAAACACTTATGTGGACTGTAGAATGCGAATTATCATGGTCGAATGTTTAGCCAAAGGGTTGCCACCCTTTTGCTCGCTTCCCACATTGGTATATGGGCTGTCATTTTTTTTGATAATTTTGCTGCATTTTTCTATTCATCAGAGGAACAAATTTATCCAGTTCGGCCTGCGCATAAATTCATCTTTTGTCAAGATCACGTTGATGCGATAAAAAAGGCGGTACGATATGCCATGCTGAAAGCCTATAAAAAAACTGCCCAGAGTCTGTGATGAGCAAGTAGATACTCCAGATGCACAAAGTTCACAGATCTTGGGTTACTGTTGCCAGTTTCATTAGCTGAATGGGACTGGATAAGGCAGCGCTATCCACTACGAGCGGTCCGCAATTTCGTTTTTTTCTTACAAACTTGTCTATAGGTCTCTTAGACACGAAATGGAAACATGGTGCATTCTAGTTAACGGGGATGGCGACGAGATGCCATGTAACACGGTTACACCAGAACATGTTTATCTGTTGCAGCCTAAAGCAGCAACAAAATTCCAGGCTGTCAAACGGTTTGATGAGTTTTGTGGTTGTGTATCCTCTAATTCAGATCGCCAATTTTTTATCCTTCTTTAAGACACCTAAAGCAACTGCTTACCCTTGGTTCTTGAAGGGCTTTGTTCTGATGATGTCTCGGTTGTAGAAAAGGAGTCTTATAGTATTTCAAGTATTTGCTTTTTTTCAGCGGCTACGTTGGCACATGGAGGGTCACCAAGAAGGGAGAATGATCGACATTGCTCAGACCAAAAATGGAATAATTACAACCTGGCCAAAACATTAACACTTGCACTACGGCAGAAATCGATACCTCAAAAGCGAGTGGTATCTACAAATGTGGTTAAGGACGCGACAGTTATTTTGATTGGGAGGTTGTGCACGACAAGGCGACACATTCTTGGTGTTAATGCTAAATCCTAGCTTCACAATCGGGCGGACTTCATGCGTTTGCTTGGAAGCATCTGGGTAACATGTCCAGATTGGAAAGGAAGCCACATATTTTTTCAGGCTTGAATTGAAAATCTTCAAACCGCTGAATGCGCGACCTTAAAATGCGCAATTGAGCTTCGGCAGTCAAACAAGCAAGAATACCAGTTAAGTATTGGTGAGGCTTGTTTGAGTAATTCTTTCAAATGAATACTAGCCTCAAGTTTTGTTTTGCTCGTAAGATTGAATTTTTATATACCGCATTCATTGTGTAACTGATGTTCATAATGTAACATCTACGAAGATCTCAGCATTCATGACGCTGTATTTGGAATCTTTCCTCAGACTGTTCACCATAACACACAAACAGTTGGATGATGTCGCTTCTTCCCCATATGCATCGTGCGACAAGCAAAAATCTGGTCTACATAATTTTTGATGATGAAGCCTCGACGTGAGGTCGAAGTATGCCCGACTTTTGCCTCATGAATATTTCCAAAAGTCTGATGTCATAGCATCCGATAGATGTTAAGGGATTAGCGTTTGACAAAAAAGCCCTCAAAAGGTGACTTAAGCGCGAAGAAACAGAAACAATCCTATAACACCCCTTACTCATTTTTCATATACATACGACATAATGCGCAAGCTATCTAAGTTGTAGTATCTGTGCATGAGCTTAATGGTTTCATGATAGTGCTGCAATGTTGATATATTTAGCTCAGATATTGTGAGGACTCCGCCTGACAGTAATTCCGTGACAAAGCCCTAAAAGTAGTGTAAAACATGATCTGAAGCCTTGTACCGTATATTTGCGTGGCTTGAATGTCAAAATCAAGCACTTAGTTACAAGATAATTACTGTGCTACAGGCTTCTGTCTTTAATTCATTTTGTTCGTACATATCAGACTCGCTTAGAAAAAACGCTTCAGTAAGGGGAAACTTTAACGCGAAACAAGAAGAAAAACTGCTCGTCGCCTCATCGCGCTTGGGAAGGCACGACATTTGTCCAACAACTCAGCGGCATCCGTTGATGTTGTTGTCTGTAGTATTAATTGGACTGACTTGAACACTGGTAAATTCTAATGATAGCCATCATAATACAAACTGAACAAAATCAATACATACAAACAGCATCTTACATGTGAAAACAGACCGCGCGACATATGTTTTGCACACATTGCTGCTAAGCGTTAGAGCTAGTCAGGTTGGGTGTCAAAATGAAGTCACAAATACTCAGACAAAATATACAAAACGTTTTGAGAGCCAGTGCAGCCAGATGGAGTAGAGGATAGTGACAGGTGCTCAATCAGCTTTCTTGCACAATCATTTGCCTTATCCCGATACCTGGACTGTGCTTTTCCCTTCTGATTGGTATGTATCTACCGTATCTGCTAGATGTGACAGGTGGGTATTTGAGATATCAAAACTACTTATTCTAAAACAAAAGTAGTTTTCTGTGAGGCCAAAGTCTGTGCTTAATATATGCTGCCACAAGATATTTTAGCTCGTTTCATGATGATTTTCACGACCAACGATCGTATATCCCGCAAAGTCGTAAGGATAGACATGACCGATATAGACATCTCGCTGGCGAATAAACAACATTACGTACGTGCCAATATAACTTTTACGCCACAGATGTTCTTTTAAATTTCTATAAAATAGCCGGAATTTGTAATCGGATTAGACAATCAAAGCGGTTCTCACTATTCATTAATTGGCTTTTCTGTTTGAAACCGCCGACTGATCAAGCTCCAATTTTGGCCATGAACAATAATCACCAGCACGTCATGATCGGTATACAAACCAACAATATGGCAACGGGACAAGATTTCCACTAGCACACGATTTAGCAGGTGCTCAAGATTTGCGAAAAAGTTTTAAGTTTCATTGTATTAAATCTTGAAGATACCACATAAGGTGTGTGGACAGAGTCACGGCAGTGTAAAAAGAAAGCCTTAAAGGCTTTGCTTGTGGGCCGTACCTTTGAATGCAGGAAAATGCAGACTTAGCTCGGCACTTTACCAACGCACCTTTGCGGCTGTAATGTGAAGCAGACTTGCGGACCTTATTTTTTGAAGTGCTGACACTGTACAGTTTACTGTACAATTGGATGTTCTTTCTGAACTCTGTTGAGTACATTATAAAATGATTTTTTGAGGGCTTAAATCGTCATCTCGGCAATTGCTGAATCACTGAGAAAAATGCACAAACTAGAGACATACAAATACTAGCATTGTGACGTGGACAATAGCTTGAGGGAACAGCAAAATTCGCTCTGTAAGGTTATTTATTCTCTTTTATTTACAAGTGTTTCTTCTGGGTGATAAAGTTACATTCCGCTTGAGCTGCTTGTAAAATCTCCCAATAGATTTGTGTGGTCGCCTTTTTTTGCTGCACTATCTCGAAATTCGCATTTAGTACGACCGATTCCAATTCCCCCACATCCAGTGTAGATCGACGCGCGTCGGCACTCTTCGTTTCCTTTTGCTGCCCTTGTGCTTCCGTCGCCGTTGGGCTTTTGTCCATTGCCTCTGATTTGGTGACGATTAGTTTCATTGTAGCGAGTGAAGAGAGTAGCAAAAATCCACATGACCACTCGCACACAAGACACAACACCGTCCAAGGGTGAGACGTCTTTACTCTCAAGCCAGCTGACACCTGATCAAGGTAGCAATACACCCTTGCGTACGGTTGCAGAAGACAGTAAGAAGATAGAACAGGTATCAGGATCCCCATCTACTACTGAGCAACGCTGCGTCCTCTGTGGATTGGAAACCAGCACACCCATCCGCTTGGTACGCTGCAAGAACTGCAGTAACCATTACCATGCACATTGTGCTAACCTTTCGCTTCCACCTCAAGATGGGAATCTTTTTTGTCGTCATTCATGTTATGCAACATATGCCAAGAAACAGCAGACCAAAGGTCCTGTCTTTCGAAGTGGCGACTTTCCTCTACTGGCGACACAGATACAAAGTGTTCTGCAGGAAAAGTCCGATCGATTGCAACTACGACGACAGTATCCTATACAAAAAGTTATGAGCTCTTCTGGACGTGGCCGCGGACGTGGAAGAGGGAAAGGTCGTGGTCGAGGAAGAGGTCGAGGTCGAGGACGAGCAATAGGAATCAAGCGGATGATGCAAGAAGACTCTGCGGATGAAGACAGTATTGGCCAGCTTCGCTCAACACCGACTAATGGAAAGCAGGTTGACAGCAGCACAGAATCCAATGACATCAATTCTTATCCATCTCAAAACTCAACGTATCCTGTGGACAATGATCAGATGACACCGCGCGGCAGTGCGAATACAAGTAATAGCTCGCGTCTTAAACCTGAGGAGCACATCCCCCCGTCATCAACAACATCCCCTGCTGCTCGCTGGCCGTTGCGAGGTTTCGATGGAGAGCAAGGTAGTCACTTTCGCATGGCACCTCAATCAAACCTACCACCGTCTTCAACGATGCAAATGGCACGTCAAGGTCACGTCGAGTATTCTGGACCTCCAGCTTCCAACCAATTCAGTAACGATAATTCTCGTCCTCGTCACGAGTTTTCGTCACCTCACTTTCCGATCGCAAACACGCACCAAACACAGGAAATTTCTCGCTCCGGTCTGATGACGCAACAATTTCACGGAAGTCGTCCGATGGGCCATGTACCGCTTGCACAAAGTAATCAGCGAATGACATCAAGTATGCACTTACCGCAGCAAAAAGGCCAGCCATTACTCCAACGTGAATTTGGTACTCCATATCGTAGTGAAGCAGCTGATTTGGCATTATCGTCAGGCTCTTATAATTTAAATTCAAGAAATCGCGTGGTACAAAATTTTAAGAGTGCAAGTGATGGAATTCAAAGCCAAGTTGCATCCCAGCCTCCTTCACAACTTCCTCTTCGCCGCCATGCACCTAATATTCCGTGGCGTAACCCATCGACGTTTCCAGCAGAGATTTACGAGCGATTCCGCTGCCACTCGGATGATGCAAATCATGTGTTTCGGATCGATCTTTCGCCGGTGTTTATAGAAAAGACTATCAAGCTGTACCAAGGAGAAATTGACTTTTTTTTTCGATGCTTCGAGTCACCAGATGTAAGCTTGGTGGTTAAAGGTATGGGAAGCGAGTTAAATCAGTATATTTGGGCTTGGCCGTTTATTCTCGAGTGCTGCGGGAATGATACGCACTTTGCTTTCGACCACTTTCAATTTAGGCGAAATAGTGAGACGGATATACCGGAGCTGGCTTTTGTCGGAAAATTGCAGTTGTCCATGGCCTCTTTTAACTCGTATCTGGAGAAGTATTTATCAAATGTACCCGGAAAGGACGTTGTGGTACTGGAGGACCATGTCACGAAAAAGACGATTACAATTGTGGCCTCCGACAATATTATTGCTCTGAATAATTTGGTTTTGGCTAAGTATTGCGCACAGGCATGTTATTTATCCACGTGTGAAAACGGCTGCATCTGATCATGTTGTGCTTTTTACAGCTTTATAACGACCTCATCAAGGGTTTTCAATGGGATGTTTTCGCTGGTGGCATCCACTGCTTGTTGCAATATCTGCCTCAGAGTAGCTGGCATGACAAATTTTCAAGTCCACGACTACATTTCAACTTTCCTGGGGCGCGGGGCTCATTAGCTGATCCTGGCAACGGTACCACTGATACTGCATATCAGGTTTGTACCGCAAGAGGGCATTGAAGATTCGTTTTGTGCAATAACAGTGTTTTCGGTGATGTGTAGGTGCTTGTAGGATCTCTGGAGCTAGTCATTTTTGAGCGTTTTGAGCCGCAATTCAGAGCCGATTTCGACATTATCTTACACAGATCAGGATACGATGCATCAAGAAAAACTATGCTTTTGGATGCCCATCTTCGTGCTCTAAGGTATGATTACGACACGCTCATTCTTCAGATGCTCATGACTTGTATCTGATTGTTGTGAGCATCCATTACAGATCAGCAGGCTTTGCATTTTCAACTGTGCTATTACAAGAAGGAGAATTTGTTCATGTCAACAAGGTGCGTTTAAAGCGTCTTTTGGATGAAAAATTTGCCCTAATATCACGCGCTGGTTTACGTTTGGTCGTTCAGGGCCGTCAACATTTCTGGCGTGTCGTCGAGAAAGATAGCACCAATAGATCGGTCAATGCCCCGTGTGTCTTTCTTTCGTGGGAGTGGGTGTATCAGGGTGTTTCCCAACGCGGTATTTCTACAGAGTGCTGGGTATGATTTGAAATTTTTCTTGTTTACCGTAGTCGTCAATCCCTCCTGATCTTTTTGGTCTAAATGTTTTTAAGTTTGCCATGAAGAACGCGAGTATGTGTCCCGATGGATGGGTATTTGACCCACGCCGTGCGATTGTGGAAGCTGCCAAGGTGCGCAGCTTCTTTCATGTCTGTTATCAAGTAGTGACAGGATCGGTTTGTGTTTGGCATTGACGCAGTGTGGAGTAGCAATCGTGCGCACTGGACAATTCTTACGCTCTGCGCTGACGTCGGGACGTTCACGCACCTCCCAGCTGCTATCGTTTGCTACATCGCCAGCACCTATTGATCGTGGAGTTGTAGCGCAGCGCCAAGCTCAGATGGTTCTTTTTCTGGAATCGATACTACCATGTCTCGACGCGATTGTCGAAGAGGCCTATGAATTGGGTTTATCAAGCACAGATGATAGCGAAGAGTTCCGCAATGTGTTCGACGATGAAGGCATGTGGCGCACAGTAGACGCTGATTTGCATGATCCACCCACGGACACGTCTGAAAACTATGTGTGCGGTATCTGCCAACGAGAGATCACCAACTTATACAAGCAATGCCTTGGCTGTACAGTTTACTCTCGTCGATGCCGACCTAACATGGCGTATCCCATTTTTCGTATATGCCTTCGATGTCACTCACAGCCGGAACAACACCATTTTAAGCCACGTGCCATCGCTACATATTACGACAAAATATTGAGTTCAGAGGGTCACACAGGTATTCTGCCGTCCACGCGCCGGTATCAGTCTGTGCGCAGCTATTTTAAATGTCGATGTGTACCGTCGCTTCGCTGTGCTCATTGTGGGGGGTGCGAATCCTGCAGCTGCCTGTGTCACACGCTGTTCCAAACTCGGTATCGCTTTACTGCTCCTGGTAAGTCATTTTATGCGATTGTATCATTCGAATGTAATTATTCATGTTTGGAACTCTAAATTCTCAGCAAATTTGGAAAGGTTGCGAGCTGATGTGGACGCTGTCGTCAAATACCATCAGCAGCAACTGCTACAGCATCAACAGCGCTAGTGTAAAAAGACTTGATACTGTTCAATACACCTTTGCCAACTCAAGTCGGTATTTGTGCAGAGTGGAGTGGCTTTATAGAATCAGAATAGGTATATCTTGAAAAGTAACAGTAAAGTGAAGATATTAGTCCATTATTACGGTCTTGTGCTAAAATATGGTGAATTGATCGGTCAGGAGTTAATTGCTCAACCTTTTGCAATGTGTCAAGCGAACACTTTTGACGACACGTTTAAGGCATTTCAGCGGCAAATTGTTAGCGTAGCAGAAACAAAACATGTCGAATTGCTATCAAAAGTGATGCGACATGTTAGACAGCCTTATTATAAAAGCTCGGAAGATAGAATTAGCTTTTTATGTGTATGTAAGATTGTTGAACGATGAAGTGTAGAATATCTTGTTCGATTTTCGTATCTTTGTTTCAGTATCATCTTCTTAACGGGGTGCAATAAAAACGCAACAAAACTAGGATAGAAGTGCGCAACAGTAAAATTAATACGAAACAGACAGACAATACAGCAACCATAAGAGTCAATAAATGTAATACTAAAATTTGCCGAGCTCCTTAACTTCCTCATTTATCTACATAGCGTATTACTTAAGTGAGGAAGCCTTGCATACCCTGATAGTTTATTAACGGTTGATTCTTGCATCAGCTGCTACCGATTAATTGTGTATGATAACAGCTCTCTTTGTGAAGCTATTGGAATTAAGTATCGATGTGAAACTCGTTAAAAATCTCTTGTCACAAATGCCGGTTATGGGACTAGATGTATATTGCCGCCCACGTAAATATTGGATCGTTTTGCTGACGGTCTGTTGTTAGAAGTGTCGCTTCATGCCTTGCTTCATTCCTTTCTACGAGCGCGCGAAACTTGGTTATGCATTCAAGAACGCAACGACCATTAATCCTGTACAGCACATCTTGCTCGCTTCATTCGATTTTGTGGCATCATGAAGGGTTTTGTAGTTGATGCATAACGGATTTTTTTACTTACAGTTATAAATCATCAAATCGTAAAGTGTGTTTAAATATCCCAACGCAACGCAAGTGGGTAGTAGCTCTATCAGACCTCCATATACGATCATTTGACGGCAGATTTACGCTTTTCGTTACGAGAGCCGTGTTATTCCAACTTTTCAGCAGGCATCCCGTAAGTCATATGATAAAAATCAAATCATGTCCGAATCGCGCTGAGGTTGTTATCTTGCTATTCGCATTGACTTCGAAGCTATCAAGGTTGCCGACTTGTTAGACTTGTTGTACCTAAATGTTTGCCTTGCACTAGTCATTGAAATGACTCAATTGCAGCGATAGCCAGCGCCCGAACGCGGTCCAATTTAAAAATGTTCATGTATGCGTTCGTTATTCTGCCTTAAATGGAGTCGATGACCAAAATTTCGCCTCAATCGCTCATACCTAACTCCAAAACTTGAAAGTAGATCATCGTGAGCGCCTTCACCACACTTATCGCGTGCATTATCCAATCAGCAGAGAATTCACAAAAAAGGAATTTCAATCTTCTTGCCAGTGGATTCGAATCGATTATGGATCTTTTAAGTCATTCCACTGATCATACATACATGATCATGAGTGATAAAGTGAAAGTATATATATGCTGTCTACGATGTATGCTGTATTAATTTTGCTCTCAGGCATGTAAACGTCAAACCGGTTCTTATGCAGTTGTAAAAAAGGGGCCCAGCTGAAAAATCGTATATTTCCCAGCTCCAAATCTCACGTCAGTGAAAGAATTAATTCCGAAAAACACAACAAACCATCTAGCAAAATGATAAGGACTTTTGATGCATGACACGCATTTAGCGACATGGAATGCGACGTAAAGGTTTTTAAGAATGAATGCTCTCACTATTACTGTCGTGTTGAATAATTCTAATGTTCATTGGGCGTGGCGTTCGAGCCGTTCTCTTTGCGATTGCTAGCGCGTTTCGTGTCGACAAAGCTTTGGCGCTGTGCGAGGCGCACAACAACCCCACTGCACTTGGTTGCACTAATTCAGTATTCGACAACCGAGTCTTAATAAGGTTGTAGGATAAAAAAAAGCTGTTTGACTATCTGTCCTGAGGACGACTAGACACGCTTATTATGATGCTTATTTAAGTGGGTCGCGAGGGGATACCTTAACTGACTACCTAAGGATCGTATACGTTAACCGCTCCCCTTGAGGCGCTAGCTAAATGAAAGTGCACGGGTGAGACACAACCATGAATTTAAACAGGCGTTGGTGAGAGCGTAACAGCCTCTTTTTTGACGTCACACCCGTTCGAAGATTCTCCATACGATAGTACCTTCCCTCTCCCCTCAAGCTGGAAGTGAAAGGAAGAGATATACTCGCTACGCTACCGAGCAGCGCCATGGTACCCGCAGAGGTTATATCTGCGGCAATACCAATAATTTGCACTCCTTCTCTCTGTTTATTGAAATATAGGAAGCGTTAAGATCAAATACACGGTAGACTGGCAAACGCTTGGTGGGAAATGGTCGATTTCCAGTAGGAGCAGAGTTGCCCACTGGGAATGAGCTGACGTGATTGTTCTTTGCAGCAGTTGAGAGCAATAGATTCCCCGAATAAAGCTGCACTCCCTAATTATATAGCTCAGAGTTGTTGGCTGTCTAGGAGCGCCGCACACTTACGTCCGAAACGTGATGCTTGGAATAGCAGGCAATGTGGAAAGGCTTTAAAATTGCCAAAAATGGAAACGGATACGATATCCGTGGGCCTTGTGAAGGGTACCCTGGACAAGAGTCGAAGGATTTTTGAACCTTTTTGCAAATGTTGAAGATTTTGGCAGCGTGGAATATTGTCTGTCCTTAGACCTATTTATAATTGCACTCTCTTCCTCCTGAACGCAATCATTCACGGATCGAGCAAAAGTTTGTGCGAGACACCTTTGTCATTCTGTACTGATGATCTATTTATCCGTATCAACTAGAAAAAATAGCGCTTTTTGGCGCGAACATGAAGCTAAATTAGATTTGGTTCAGGTCATTGGTTGTTTAAAATAACTAACAATAACTTTCTGAGTGCGTTGAGCAAAGTTTGGAAGGCACAAGCGGCAAGTAGCTGCTGTCTCGGATATGACGATTTTCATAAAAAATTATCTTTGGTGAGATAATTTTTTATGAAAATCAAGTAGATCGCAGCTGTACACTGAGGTCTCCAAAGAAATTAATTAGTAGTAGGATGTATTCAAGCAACAACGTGTCGTAATCTTCTAAGCAAGATCCCTTCCCGGTGAGAATAGGCATATGCAAGCCGCAACTATAAGAACCACACCCTAAAGATTTAAAAATGATCCATTTTTGGTGCCATATTACGGTACTTACTAAAGTGTGGCGCACCAGCCGTGCAGAATACTAAAGATGCATGAATATATGGCGAGAAAGTTTAAGTTTTGACGATGAAGCGACCATGGTAGTCCTAGGGGCAAGATGTTTCTCCCGCATCCCAGGCTATTTCATTGAGCCCAAATGCTATCATTAGAGATGTTTGCATTGGACTCCAAACCGGCAAAATACCTATTTGGTACGCTTTGTTGTAACGGTAGGAATGAGCTCATCATCCGTTGTGGATAAGTCTGTCGTTGAGGATACTTGTAAATGTCTTAGTGTGAGGAATTGAAACATTATCCCCACGATTCGATTTTTTAGTTTTTGCTAGATGATCGACTTGATGTGATGCGGAGAATTTCACTGAGCAGGAAGTCCCCAAATTGAGGAGTGTTTCATATATTCGACCTAGTTTTTGAAATTGACCTGGCTGCCGACAAATCGCGTCATACGTCAATGAACCTCAAGATAGTAAAGTATACGATTCCTTTTGTGCAAAGAACAAATTAGCAAGAAAATTTCCATTCAAAGCCGACATTCTGTTCCAGAAGGATATCGGTAACCGTCGAGCCGCGCATGCTTCGAAAAGGCCAATTGTACCCACTATTCCGGCGCAATCAGCGATTCTTTAAGAGGAATAGCTGATACAAAGCATAGTCGTTTGCACGTTGTTCGTTGCTCTTGAACAAGCTGATGATCATCAGCTAATTATTAGAAATAATGATGTATATGTCAATGTGGTGGATACTCTGAGAGCGTTGCTCTAAAAATAGCTGGCAATGCTTTGGGCTTTGGGGATTGTCAAACGCGCCAGAGATTCTTAGTAGGGATGGGGACGTTAAGGGACGGGAAGTTCCCGTAAAAAAAATTTGATCCCATCGTTACGTTAAGTTTACGTTAAGGACGTTAACTTTGGAACATCTGTATTATGTGAGCCAC